AATGTAAAAACATGTATGTACACAATAAGTGCATTGTACTAAATTGTTAATTTAAATATAAGTACATAGTAGTTAAGACCACTTAATATAAAGTGGGACCCATTATTTTATTTTGTTCACTCATGTGAATGCAAATGCCTTATGCAGAGATGGAGAAGGTGTGCAGATCTTAGCAGTGAACATGTTTTCACTCCCCACCAATGTGACCAGCACGGATGTCTACAACAGCATCCAGATGTCCCTGAGCAACTGTAGCCGGACGTACTCCCACTGCACCATTAAGCTTCAGCACCATCTCTCCTATCACGGTACCATTCAGCGCTCATTGTATGCATCATACTCTTATCTCAGCTCCTCCGCTCCACTCCGCCACTTCAGAGATATGATAATACCAGTCACACAATATACACAGATAACACAGTCTTGAGGCTCCTAAAATAATATTTTGTAAAGCTCTTTGTCATACTGTTTATCTCTGGGAAGCCATTTGTTCTGAAGAACTTCTTTCTGTTTAGCGGAGAGCCTGTGTTTGGCCCAGAACACCAAGTGTGATTCGCAGTACTCTGTGTGCACGGACACTAGCGGAACCCCATACTGTCAGTGCCACCCAGGATACTTTAAAAAGAATCCAGGGGACATGACCTGCAGAGGTACAACATTCACTTGTGTGTTTTCAGTTCTTTGATTGAATACATTTAAACTGTGGGACTTTGTGGGACACTTGTACTAAAGAATACCAAGTTTCTCATTGAATTTTTTAAATTTTATTTAAACATTGCAATGTTTTTTTAGACTGTGGAGATGGACGCAAACTTGTTAACGGCAGCTGTTTTGAGTAAGTATGTGGTTTTTAAATGCATTTTATGTAAAAAATTACCAGTCAAGGTTTGAACATACCTACTAATTATAGATTATTGTTTTTCCCCAGTTTAGAATTATAAAGTCATTCAAAACTATGAAATAGCACAAATGGAAGTATGAAGTAGTGGCTAAAATCTTGTATTTTAGCCAGTGTTATTTAGTATCATTGATATACTATATAGTTATTGGTAATATTTTGAATTAGATTTTTTTATATATATTTTCTGTTTTCACTTTAATTTTAGTTAAAGATTTTGTAATGTGGTATTT